AAGTTAGTAGATGTAACACTCAACGCGATCAAATTCTTATTGGTATTACCAGACACTTTATACACAAAATAAAACCATTTTGAGAATTGGAAGGCGAAATTTCCTCGAATCGAATTTATATGCACCAACCTCCAGATATGCGTGCTCATAAGACTTCAAATCGACCTATGTCTTCTGTATTCAGAACTCAGAAACAAGGATTGCAAACAGTTTTGACGAAGGCTAATGTTGTTGATACATGTTACACCCTTCAGTAATATACATCCTGTAATAGAGTAAGAGTCCTGTAACATAAGCATTCTGCTGAAAAATGAATAATTGATAGGAAGTCCTCTTTTTTTTCTTTTATTCTTGAAGAATGAAAAATATTTTGGAAAAGCAAGCTTCATACTAAAACATTTCAGAGGGCATAATGCATGATGTTGATACTATTAATAATAATCTTTGGGATTGTCTTTGCTTCGGATGAGAGGAACGCCGTCTTCCCTCCAACTTATCCGTTCCTCACATAAAGCAGCAGTCACCTCTATGTATAGTTGATGCTCCTATTTTAACAAACACAACATCTAAGTATAAGAAACAAAACCAATGTAGGAAAAAAACTCAACAAGGATCAACCTTAATAATAGCTAGAATATTGTTTCATCACATTCCTTAGTCCTAGTTGTACAGTAACTAGTACTCCATCTGATTATAGAGAGAGGTTTGTCATCTTAGACACCTATTCTAGAGGATATTTAATAATTAATCTCTTTCTAATTTGTTAAGAAAAAGGTTATACAACATTCTCTTACCTCCTTAAGAACCCTAGCAGCCAAATCCTCTGCAGTGTCACTGGCAAGGACTGGGACGACTCTTTGAGCAAGTATTCGCCCTGTGTCATAATGCTCATCAACAAAATGAATTGTTGGACCTGAGTATCTAACAAGTACAGAAAAAAAAAAGGGGGGACTAAGTTGTCAAGTGTCAACTTTTGTATGCAATCAATAAACCAAATGGAAGAATGGGAAGAGAAATAGCATGTCAAACGTGTGGAATTTTTGTAATGTACCTTGCTCCAGAAGCAATAACTGCTTTGTGAACCTTCATACCATAATAACCCTTGCCTCCAAAAGCTGGAAGCAGAGATGGATGGATGTTTAGAATTGATCTTGGATATGCTCGAATCAACTCAACTGGTATAAGTTTCAGATATCCAGCTAGAAGAATAAAATCCACCCCAAACCTCCTGATCAAGATAACACATCAAATATAAGTAGTTGCTACATTTGTCTAAACATTATAGTACTGTTTAAGCAATAAAAATAGGCAGAGAAACTTTGACTTGGTTCTTCAGAGGCATCTGTTGATATTATTTGATTATACTGTCTAAAATAATTTATTATGTTTCCGTTACAATACTTCCTAGGCATAGTTAATAGAGAAGAGGGTTATTCATCAATCATCAAAACATCTACTGGGGGTCTGCACTTCACTACCTTTGGTAGAATATATTTCTTTAGAAGTCCAATCCAAAACTCCTAATTTAAAGCATATATGTAGCCCTATTATATTAGGGAGATAAGAACTATATGGGCAACATGGGAACGGACATACAAATGAAAAACTTAGGATTGGTAAAATAAGGTCCTCTCAACAGTAGCTAAGGTCAGCAACCTGAATCATCATATATATTTGGCCCAGCAAACTTCCTTTCCAATGGCCAAAAAAACTTCCTTCCATCAACAAACGTACAATGAAAAAGTACATAGATACACGAACTAGCAAACCATGTACAAAAAAAAAAAAACGATGCACCATTCACAAGTGTGAAGTAAAACACTAAAGAAACTGAGTAAAACCATAACGACTAATTTTGAAAGAAGAGCCTAACCCAAGAAAAGTTACAAGATCCTTTGGAGATAGACCATCAGGTTCTTCTCTTATTCTCGGGAATAAAATAACCGGGATGCCCTTATCCCTTGCATACTTTGCTCCCCCACAACCTGCTTAGTGGAAGAAAAGATGTAAATGGTTCTAAAATTTGTAATAAAAACTCTATCAAGTCCATTTCTCACTCTCATAACATAATATTTAAACTGATAGCCTCCATTTTTAGTTGTTCAAGTTTACACTAGTGTTACTTATCACAATTATAAAGAGAGATTTAAAATGACATTGGTCCAGGACACAATACAGAGACGAGTTTTGCAATATAGGTCAATTCGTGTCATCCCCATTTAAGTGATTCAATACAATTAATACAAGAACATTCAGCAAGAAATACCCAATTTAAACTCAAAACCATTCAAGGTCTAAACTTTATTTCATTTCAGAAGCAGTAAAGGGGTGAGATGAGACTCACCTTCTTTGTTGGTGACCAGAACAACAACATCTCCATTGACTGATCCCCGGACACATGCTTCATGAATTGACCGGAAATTTGAGCCTCCCCCAGATACGAAAACGGCAAGCTTCTTCCGTTTAACCACAGCTTTTGAATCATCTTCCTCCCCAATAACCACATTGGGTTTTACTCTTTCACTACTGTTTTTGCACACTAATCTGCCGGTGGAGAGGACCCTCTGTGAAGAAATACTGTGCTGAAGTCTCAAGGAGAGCCGACGAGGTGCTGGGGTTATAGAGACCCGTTCGAGGGGGATTTTTGTGGATGGGATTGTTGAATTTGAGCGAAACCCTGATGAAAAGGTTTGAGCTTCCATTAAAATTGAAAAGAAGTTCAGAGAATCCAACAAGGGAGGCAGCAGAGGACAGGACAAGGTCCAGGGTTTTACAAAAATCTAAACGGAGCCGTTTTTTCTCAAGGACCCAACAGGCAAAATTCCCACCTCCCCTAAAGAACAGTGAAAAATCAAGAGATTTAGATAATTAAAATATTAAAGTTTTTTTTAAATTATTTAAATATCTTTAATAAATTTATTATATTTAAATAATTTTATAAAAGAATTTTAATATTTTAAATAAAAAAGTGTCTTAGTTTTTTTTATTTTTTAACACAAAAATATATATACAATTTAAACAATTAGACAATTAACAAAAGAAAAAATAATAATTGAACGAGGCAAACCCTAATATGTTTGTGTCGTTCCATTCAATGGGAATATATTTGGTTTAAGAGGAAAAAAAGAGAAAATAAAAAATCAATTATTTAATTAAAGCAAAATATTTGGATGAAAAGATTTTACTCATTCTATTTTCTCCAACAAAACATTTCTAAGAATGTTTTGATATTTTCATGATATAATGATATAATTATAATATTAAGTAAGATTTTAATTTTATAATAATAATAATATATAATTTTTTATATAAAAATTATAATGTATAATTAAATGAATTGTTACATATATATTATTATAAATAAATTTTTAAATAAAATATTATAATTATAAATTTATAATATTATATTTTCATTTTGATGATCTAAACTTC